GAGTCTCACTCTGTCGCCCAGATTAGAGTGCAGTGGCTGCTCCCGGCCACTGAAGCCTCGACCTGCTGGGCTCCGGTGATCGTTCCGCCTCAGCCTTCCAAGTAGCTGGAACTACAGGCGTGCACTACCATGCCTGGCTGATTTTTTTGATTTATTGTAGAGATGAGGTCTCACCAAGTTGCCCAGGCGGATCTCGAACCCGTGGGCTCAGGCAGTCCACTCACCTCAGCCTCCCAAAGGCGTGGGATTACAGGCTGTGCCACCGAGCCCGGCTTAGATTGCACTGAATTTTATTGTGAGGTCCTTAGAATTTGGGAAGGGGTATGATGCGTTTGTTTTGTGTTTTTGCCTTAATCACAGGAGAAATTTGGAAGTGAAAAATTGATAGGAATTTAGTTTGCAAAAGTTTAATTCCAGGGGGAGGATTTTAGGTCATTGACATTAGAAAGGATATAAATTTGATGTTTGGGTTCTTTTCTAGTTCTACACACTATATCTTAAATGCCCTAATCCTTTCAGAACTACTTAGCAAAGCCTAGGAGAACAATTATGCTTTGAATTATCCTGTACTTTTGGTTAATACAAGCCCTTTGGAAGTAGTTTTTAGAGTTGTGGGAGTGTCTACTGAGATTATCCACTCTGATAGCATAATTCTAGAACAGTTAACAGAAGCAACCCTAGAAATTCAAATGGAAATATGGTTCCATGGAGACTTATAAAGGAGGGGACTTGACTTTTAATTTTCCTAATGTGGAAAACTTCAGAAATATTAGATGGAAGAATTTTAGTAGCATTCTGGTCCGCAAACTTATGCATGCATTGGTCAGGTGTGGGGAGAAATAAAAGCAACAGCATAAAGTCAACTGAGATCTATTATAGTAATTATTATTGTTATTTTATTATTTTGTTCTTGAGACAGGATCTTGCTCTGTTGCTCAGGAGCTCAGTGGCACGATGTTAGCTCACTGCAGCCTTGAGCTCTTGGACTTACGCGATCCTCCTGCCTCAGCCTTCTGAGTAGCTAGGACTATGGGTGTGTACCACCACACCCAGCTGGGACCTGTAATTATGTCTACAGTATTGGTAAAGATGCTAGAGTATGTGACTGGAATGGCCAGAGTCAGAGAGGATGAAATTGGAAAGTGTTAAGCTGTATAAAATGTTGAGGAAATAGTCATTCTCCCTGATGGAATTGTAGGAGTAAAAGTTATGGGGGACAGGACAAGCATGTTTGCTTGACTTTAGGGAAAAGATAGCAAGATATAAGATAAGTAATGCAAACTGGTTGTGGTAGAGCCTTAAAACTAAGGAGAGTGTTTTCAGCTGGTTGAAAAAACAGTCTCAAGAGAAGATGGTTTTCCTTTTTAGTTATAACCATTATTATGTGATAGGTAAAACCCAAAGTAATTCAGAATAGAAATCACCTATAGCCTCTCCCTCAAGATGGGTTCTACTGTATAGGCGTGTATCTTGATGTTTTCAAATGATATTATCATCAACTGCTTTTCTCATATTATGTATTCTTTGAAATATTTTCGGCGACTATATAGGTTTCCGTGAAGTGGGCAGGTTATAATTTATTTACCTACTCCCCTTTTGGACATTTAGATTACTTTCAGATTTTTTATTCCACTTATGACTTATTAGAATTGGCAGTTTAAGTAGTGATGTGAATAAGATGCCAGTTTAAGAAAGCCTATATCTTTGCAAGTGTAGACTGAAGAGTTGAGAAAGCTGAAATTGTTTTATTTTTCATTTTGAAAGTAACGAAGAAGCATACTTTCATCTACAGAATATTATAGAAAATTAAAAAGAAATAGCATCATATCTAAAAAAGTATATGCCTTAATTGAAAATACTTTATTGCTTAAAAATGACTCCAATAGACTCGCTCGACACAGGGTTGCCACAAACCTTCAATTTGGGGAAATGCAACATCTTAGAAGTGCAATAAAGTGAAGAGCAGTAAAAGGAAGTATAAGTGTGCCTGTGTCTTACCCTCTTCTCTTCTCCCTAGCAGTTTTCAAGGCAAAAATGTGCTGTAGACTAGTGATATTGATTACCTCCAAGAATATTCTTATCTTGGCTGGAATACATTTGCTTGAAAAACCCAGCATAAGTTAACTGAAGTTAGGCAGTACACTTTTTCTCTTCTGTTCTTCAGAGACCAGGGGTCTCAGCCTGTCACCGAGGCTGGAGCGCAGTGGTGGAGTCATAACTCGCCGGGCCTCGAACTCCTTGGGGTGAAGCGAGCCTCCTGCCTCAGCCTCCTGAGCAGCTGGGATCACGAGTACACACCACCACACCCGGCTAATTTTTGGTTTTTTTTAAAATTTTTTTTCAATTATTTTTTGGGGGGTTGGAGTCTCACTCTGCCGCCCAGACTGGAGTGCAGTGGCTGCTCCCAGCCACGCAGCCTCGACGTACTGGGCTCCGGCGATCCTTCCACCTCAGCCTTCCCGGTAGCCGGAATTACAGGCAGGTGCTACCACGCCCGGCTGATTTTTTTTTTTTTATTTATTGTAGAGATGAGGTCTTGCTGCCCAGGCGGGTCTCGAACCCGCGGGCTCAGGCAATCCACTCACCTCAGCCTCCCAAGGCGCGGGATTACAGGCTGAGCCACTGAGCCCTGCTTTGTTTTTATTTTTTAGAGACAGGCTCTCATTGTGTTGCCCAGGCTGGTCGTCAACTCCTGGCCAAGTGATCCTCCTGCCTTCAGTTCCTGAGTAGTTGGGATTTATAGGCGCAGGCCACTGTGCCTGCAATACATCATTGATTTATTATTTTTAAAATTTTTATTTTAAAGATGTGGGGTGCAGTTCAGAATTGGGTTATACAAATGGTCATTTTACAGGTAAAGTTTGGGCCTCACTTTGGTCCCCACGTTACCTGGCTGAGATCAGGTACTCTTGTTAATGAAACGTAACCTCCCACTCCCTCTCCTGGCAGTTTCCCACTACTGCCAATCCCTTTCTTATAGTATGATAATTGTTCAGGGTCTGCTTGTGAGTAAGAACATGTGGTACTTAGTTCTTTGTTTCTGTGATAGATGCCTGAGTATTGCAAAATTTTTTCTTCAAATGTGAAGAGTTGTAAAAGCCAAATGTGAATGTTTGGATTCACAAGAGGCTATGGTTTTATGTTATATTCTTCTTTTTTTTGAGTCGGAGTCTCACTCTGTCGTCCAGGCTGGAGTGCAGTGGCACACTCACAGCCACCGCAGCCTCGAGCTGCTGGACTCAGAGCATCCTTCGGCCTCAGCCTTCCAAGTAGCTGGAATTACAGGCCTGCACCACCATGCCCAGCTAATTTTTTGATTTATTGTAGAGACGAATTCCCTCCAAGTTGCCCAGGCTGGTCTCGAACCCCTGGGCTCAGGCAATCTTCTCGCCTCTGCTGTATTCTTTTTGACAAATGGAATTGGGTGTTCAAAATGCTAACGGTATTGTTTACATTACCCACTTACAGATATGACATTGTACTTTATATATGGCAAACTAATTACTTGCTATATTAGCTGATGAGTTTCTTAGGAATGACTTCAGCTTAACTGGAAATGCCTATGTTTTCTGTTGTCAGTGAACTGTAGAAAAATTAAGCCGGGCTCGGTGGCTCAGCCTGTAATCCCGGTGCTTTGGGAGCCTGAGGTGAGTGGATTGCCTGAGCCTGCGGGTTCGAGACCCGCCTGGGCAACTTGGCGAGACCTCATCTCTACAATAAATCAAAAAACTAGCCAGGCGTGTTAGCGTGTGCCTGTAGTTCCAGCAACTGGGAAGGTTGAGGCAGAAAGATCACTGGAGCCCAGCAGGTTGAGGCTGCGGTGGCCGGGAGCGGCCACTGCACTCCGTTCTGGGCGACAGAGTGAGACTCCGACTCAAAAAAAAAAAGAAAAATTAGTTTTCAGATTGTGTAGCACTTGCTTATGTATCACTTTTATGTCCAACAAATATATTCAGTTCTTCACTATTATGTTTTGCTGAAGAAAAGTAAAAACTACTAACTGTAAAGAGAGTTTTTAGGCTTAATCTATTAATTGTCTTTTATTAGCTGGGCATGGTGGCTTACACTGTCATTCCAGCACTTTGGGAGACAGAGATGTGAGGATTGCCTGAGCCCAGGGGTTCAAGACCAGTCTGGGCAACTTGGCGAGACCTAGTCTCTACAGTAAATTAAAAAATTAGCCAGGTATGGTGGCACGTGCCTGTAGTTGCAGCTACTTGGAAGACTGAGGCGGAAGGGTCACCTGAACCCAGCAGATTGAGGCTGCGGTGACTGTGAGCATGCCCCTGCACTCCAGCTTGGGCGACAAAGTGAGGCTCCAACTCAAAAAAAAAGTTGTCTTTTATTTCACCGAATAAATTGACGTTTCTAATTTTTTTGTTGTGATTTACTAATGTAGGACTTACAGGATTAAACGACAGTAAATGGAGGTCTTCTAGGATTGTGCATTAATCCGGTTCTATTAATTCCCCATTAATTGATGACTAGCCTGTTACTTCTCTTTTGTTAAAATTTCACTCCTTTTCTCACTTCTCAAGTTAAATTTACTGAAAGACCTTGAGTGGTGACTATAAAGTATTCTGTGCTGTTCATTGCTAATATGACTAGTTCTCTGCTTTCTTGGCTCAGAAGTCAAGATCGCTACTTTAAAGCGCAAACTCTGAGTTAAATAATCAGAAGTCCCTTAATGTGTGTTCAAGGAATTGAAATGGGATTTGATAGTGTGTTTTAAAATGTGCTGCATATTATTCTTTAACTTTTCGTACTTAATTTCATTAATTTTACCCTTATGGGTGATTATTGAGTGTGTGCATGTATGTGAAAATATGTTTGTATGTGTAGTAAATTGTAAATTTTAATCAGAGCATATTGCTTGATACAGTTTAAAGTCATACAAAGGATGAAGATCATTAATTCTTACCTGAGCATAAGAATTGCATACTAGTTTGTGTAGAGTTACTATATTCTCAAGTGATTTTTGTTAAACTAAAAGTCTTTTTAAATTTTAGGGGGAAAAAAATAGTGGCTTTGATGTCCTCTACCATAATATGAAACATGGACAGATATCAACAAAAGAACTAGCAGATTTTGTAAGAGAGAGGTATGTATTTTTTTAAAGAAATTATTTGTTTAACAACTTAATGTAATTTAAATTTTAAAGTATAAATAATTGAGAAAATTTTATTTGGATTTGGAATAAAGTTATCCAGGCACACTTGTCTTAAAAAATATACTATGATTATGTGTATACATATACATACATACATACATACATACATACATACATACATACATATATGTCTACACATACATATTTTTCTTTTTTTTCTTTTTGAGCCGGGGTCTCTGTCACCCAAGCTGGAGTGCAGGGGCACGATTATGGATTGATACAGTGTGCACTCATTGGGGCGATGGGTACACATAAATCCCAGACTTTTTGCCAGTGTATAATTCGTCTGTATAACCAAAAACCACTTGTACTCCTCAAGCTGTTGACATTAAAAACAAAAGCAAAAGACAAGAAATGATATCATTAAATGTAAAAAATTCCCAACTTTTTAAAATTCAATTTTTCTTGTGGATTTACTTTTATATTTACTTTGAGATGGCGACTTGCTGTGTTTCCCAGACTGGAATGCAGTGGCACAATCATGACTCACTCCAAACTTGACTCCTAGAATCAAGCAGTTCTCGCCTCAGCCTCCCAAGTAGCTGGGACTACAGGTGTCTACCGCCATGCTTGGCTAAGTTTTATATTTTTTTGTAGAAACGGCATCTCACTGTGTTGCTCAGGCTGGTCTTAAACTCCTGGCCTCAAGTAATCCTCCCACCTCAGCCTCCCACAGTGCTGGGATTACAAGTGTGAGCCACCATGCCTGGACTTTCTGTGGATTTGCGAGAGATAAATTCTCAATTTGTGTTAGTCTGATAATATTTTTAATTTGTCTTCATAAAAAACTTTTGTTATAGACAATGTCAGACATACATAAAACTTACACAAAAGTTATGAACTTAGTATAACATGTAGCACTCAGTTTCAGCAATTATCAAGTTATGGCCACTCTTATTCACTACTGCTGAGTTTTTTGGGGTTTTTTTGAGTCAGAGTTTCACTCTGTTACCCAGTTTGGAGGGCAGTGGCATGCTCACGGCCACCGCAACCCTGACCTACTGGGCTAGGTGATCCTTCTGCCTCAGCCTTCCAAGTAGCTGGAACTATAGACTCACACCATCATGCCTGACTAATTTTTGTGATTTATTGTAGAGATGGTATTACACCAAGTTGCCCAGGGTGGTCTCAAATCCCTGGACTCAGGCAATCCTCTTGCCTTGGCTTCCCAGAGTGCTGGAATTATAGGCTGAGCCACCGCACCTGGCCTACTGCTGAGTTTTTATGAAGTAAATATCACAGTCAGAAACATTATATTTCATTCATTAGCATTTCAGATGTATCTATAGATGATAATGACTTTAAAAAACTCATAACCCTAATGTTATCCTTTCTAAAAATGTATTAATTCCTTAATATCACCAAATATCCAGCTTAATTTTCTTCAGTTGTTAAAAGTTGCCATTTAAATCTAGCAGCATAATCAGATTCTTAGGTGGTGCTGTATACTTCCATTGGAGGCCTGTAATATCCAGTTATACTTGATTTGATGGTAGTCACCTAAATCTGTTATTTCATTGGGAGTCACTTTCATTTATGTTTTTGCTGTACATAGAGTTCTGGTTGGTAGATTCTTTTTTTTAACTCTTTGATGATTATTTTGTTATCTACAGTTAAAATGTAAGCCATGAGTCTGCCTATTGATCCTTTGAAGGTAATGTTTGTTGGTGTGAATGGTTTGGCTGTTTTCAAGTTTTTCTTTTTGTCTTTGATTTTTCAGCAGTTTTTACTATAGTGTGATTAGGTATAACATTTAAAAAAAATTTCTCCTCTTAAGGTTTGTTGGGCTACTTGGATCTGTGGGTTGATTTTTTTTTTTCTTTTTATCAGTTTTGGAACATTCTCCATCATTATTTCTCCAGATATTTCCTCTGGCCTATTCTCTTTACTCATATGTTAGACATTTTTGCTTTGTGCGTTATACCTTTTCTCTGTTTTTGATTATTTTGCCTTTCTTAGCTTTCATCTGGGATAGATTATTCTCATCTATTGTCCAGTTAACTAATTCTCGATATAGTGTATCACGTCTGCTACTAAACCCCGTCTGTTGAGATACAAATTTGGTTATTTTATTTTTCAGATCGCTCTCTATTTTTTCAAATTTGATATGCTTTTCTCCACTCCTATAAAATTATTTCCAATTCTCCACTGAAATTTTTCTTTTGTAATTTGATCCTAAGGGACAGGGGTTCCCCATGCTTTTCACCTTTGGCGGATCTGAACTCTTAAATTTTGTCTCCCTTACTCTCTGAGGCAGTGAAAGTCTCTTCACTCCTCACCTGCCTCACCTAGATACCCTCAAGGGAAAAGCTGCCCCACCTGGCAGCGTCCCTTCTCTGGGACCTCTGCCTGCTGATTCCTTACTGCCTCTGAAGTGCTCTGATGCTTTTCAGTCCCTCCCACTCCTCTGCCCCCACGTTGTCTGATTTTTCTCAATGGGAAGTTTGTGTGTCAGTAATCTCATTCAGTATTACAAGTTGAATAGTCCTTATCCAACATGCTAGGGACCAGAAGTGTTTGAGAGTTGGGTTTTTTTCAGATTGTTGAATACTTGCATGTACATAATGAGATACTTGGGGATGGGATCCAAGTCTAAGCTGGACAAAATCATGAACTTCATAGCAACCTGGATGGCTTAGAGTCTATAAAACTGAGCAGTCTGTCACAGAAACAAAGAACTGAGTATCACCTGTTCTCACTCATAAGCAAACCTTGAACAATTGTCATAATACTATAAGAAAAGGATTGGCATTAGCGGGGAAACTGCCGGGGGTGGCAGGGGGGAGGGATGTGGGATTGGTGGTAGTGGGTATCTGCCAGGGGGCAGGTGGGGGGTGGGCACACGTCATCAACAAGAGTGCTTGTATAATCAACCTGAATTGTACTCCACATCTTTTTTTTTTTTTTTTTTTAACTGTAAACACGTGAGGTACAATTCAGAGTTAGGTATACAAACGTTGATTATGCAGGTACCCTTCATGATTAGCACATCCTTAAAATAAAAACATTAAAAGTAAAAAAAAAAAAAGGTTTAGAAATCACAAAAAAAAAGAAATTTACTTATGTTTCTTGTTTGTTTGTTTCTTTTTTTTTTTTGTCGTCAGGGTCTCACTCTTACTCTGTTACCCAGGTTGGAGTGAGTGGCATGATCACGGCTCACCAAAACCTCCCACTCTGGGCTCCTGTGATCCTTCTGCCTTAGCCTCCTCCTGTGTAGCTGGCACCACAGATGTGTACCACCACACCCCGCTCATTTTTTTTTTGTAGATATGAGTTCTCGCTATGTTGCCCAGGCTAGTCTTGAACTCCGGTTCAAGCGATCCTTCTTCCTCAGCCTCTCAGAGTGCTGGGATTACAGCAGCCACACATGGCCTCATCTATGTTTCATATACACCATAAACACATAGCCCGAAGGTAATTTTATACCGTATTTTAAATAATTTTGTGATGAAACAAAATCGGACTGCTGAGATCAGGTGTGGAATTTTTTCACTTGTGTCATATTGATGCTCAAGACATATCAGACTTTAGGCATTTTGTGTGTTTGGGTTAGGGATGCTCAACCCGCATTGAAAATTGAACTGTTTTTGCTTTTTGCTGTTAGTCGTCTTCGTTTGTATGTTCATATTGTTTCTGTGTTAACTTCTTTTGGATGATCAGAGGCTGCTGGTGTAATGTAGTGTTATTTTAGAGACACAGAAAAGTTTAGAGGAGTAAAGTCATAATGCCATCAGTGAGAGGCAGTTGCTGTTAATGTTTCCTTCTCTTTTTTTTTCTGTTTTTCTTTTGAGTTGGAGTCTCACTCTGTCACCCAGACTGGAGTGCAGTGGCCGCTCCCGGCCACCACAGCCTCGACCTGCTGGGCTCCGGCGATCCTTCCGCCTCAGCCTTCCAAGTAGCTGGAATTACAGGCGCGCGCTACCATGCCCAGCTAGTTTTTGATTTATTGTAGAGGTGAGGTCTCGCCAAGTTGCCCAGGCGGGTCTCGAACCCGCGGGCTCAGGCAATCCACTCGCCTCAGCCTCCCAAAGTGCTGGGATTACAGACTGAGCCACCAAGCCCGGCTCTAATGTTTCCTTTTCATTAGAGGGCTGGTGTTTTGTGGAATGGGGTTGGGCAACAGTTTGGAGACAAGTTTAGTTTAGAGACTTGGAGTTTGAAGTGAGTGTTGAGAAGACGGGCCGGTGCAAGAACAGTGTGGAGATCTGGGCTTGGGCATTAGAAGAAAAAATTAGTTGATCCCATCAAAGTTAGTGGAAGGACAACGGTGGTTGTACAGTGTTCCCTGTTAGGGGCAGCATAGTGAGAGGAACCCGTGTGATTATGGGAAAGATAAAGCTGTAACTTAAGTTTTATGGTATTGAGAAGGCCATGCAAAATATGTGCTGTGTATTTACAGGTTATGAATCCATAGGATGATTTGTGTTTTCTTCCTAATTCTGTATTTAATGGCTCTGGTTGTTTTTTAAAGTCTAAAATTATATATGTTATATACTAGTTATATAGGACACAGTTTTCTAGTGCGAAATACTTATTTGTCAACATTTTAGATATAATCACAAAACCAATTAAGCCCTGATGTTTAGGATCTCATATTTGCTGATGATTCATATTTAGTTTTATGCAGATGATTATCATCAATCTTGTTCTGTTAAATGTGCATCACAGTGTCGATGAATAATGAAACTATGTTAAGCGCACCAAGGAAATGTTAAATACAACTGACTTATCACAGTGAATTCATTTACAGAGAAGGAGTGAGAGCATACAAGAAGCAGGACATCTGCTCAGATAAGCTTTGGCCTTACAGATAAAGATTTGTGACTTCATTAAGTTTTTGTGATATAAATTATTTTAGTTCTACACCAGACAAGTGTTTTAAAGTAGATGTGCACAGAGGACATTTAAAGACAGGCCAGAAGTTCATGACTACATATACCTGCTTATTTTTAGCATGTAATTTGAGATACCTTTTTGTTTCTTCATTTTAAATTTTATTTTAATAACTTTGCTATGTTTTTGGTCACAAAAGAGATACTATAATGAGGACATTTGATTTAACAGAGCTACCATAGAGGAGGCATATTCCAGGTCAATGACAAAACTAGCAAAATCTGCAAGCAATTATTCACAGCTTGGGTGAGTTAATTTCTTCCTCCTTTTCAATGTTCATTTAGGCGAAGTTCTTGAGAATGTTAGATTCCTGTTCAGGGTAAGGTAGTTCATAAGTACAGTAAAACATTATGTACTTAATAATATGTGTCTCTTATATGACTATATTCTTGTCTTGATAGAAATGCAGTTGAATTTGCTGAATCTGTTATTGTAGTCAAAGTAAATGAATCTTATTTTTCCCTTTTATTAAACCACATAGTCATTCAGTAGTGTAAGTCTGAGATTGTGTTATCTTAAGCACGTGCCAAGTACTTATTCTAGTTGTCTGTAAGTTCATTTAAATTATGTTGTGGTTTAACAGTGACCTTTGGCCGGGCTCTGTGGCTCAGCCTGTAATCCAAGCACTTTGGGAGGCCGAGGTAAATGAATTGCCTGGGCCTGCGGGTTTGAGACCTGCCTGGGCAACTTGGCGAGACCTCATCTCTACAATAAATCAAAAATTAGCCGGGCGTGGTAGCACGCGCCTGTAGTTACAGCTGCTTGGAAGGCTGAGGCGGAAGGATCGCCGGAGCCCAACAGGTCCAGGCTGTGGTGGCCGGGAGCGGCCACTGCACTCCAGTCTGGGTGACAGAGTGAGACTCCAACTCAAAAAAACAAACAGAACAAAACAAAAAACAGTGACCTTTAAAAAGGTCACTTAAGATAAACTTTATTGAAATGATTAAAATGCATTAAAAATGTCTCCTTTGATTGTATGGACTGTCATTAAATCTTCCTTTTAAAAGTTTGTGTTTGCGGGTGTGGTGGCTCACTCCTGTAATCCTAGCACTTTGGGAGATGGAGAGAAGAGTAATGCTCGAGTCCAGGAGTTTGAGACCAGCCTAGGCAACACAGATCTCACCTCTATAAAATAACAAAAATTAGCCAGTACACGTGCCTGTAGTCCCAGCTACTCAGGACGCTGAGGTAGGAGGATCGCTTGAGCCCAGGAGTTTGAGGCTATGGCAAGCCATGATTGTGCCACTGCACTCCAGCTTGGATTACAGAGAGATAATCTGAGTCAAAAAAGAAATAAATAGTCCAACATTTAAAAACATTTTTGCAGTGATATTCAGTAAAATATTCCTCTATACCTGAGATTCTGAGGAATCTGTGAATCTTCTGAAATTTAATGTGAATTTTTGTGTAGGTATTTATTCACATCAATGAAGAGGATTTGTATTAATTATAAGAGTCACAAATGATTTTATGGTAAAAAAAAGTTAAGAAGGACTATGCTGTATAAGTATTCTATAGTGTAGTTGAATGAGTTCAAACAAAAGTCTTCCTACTTTGTCGCCTGGGCAAAGAGGAACTGAGATCTCGGTTTATCCTCAGGGCAGTGGCACTGTCCATTGTGTACGTGCTGACAGCCCACAGTCAGGAGGACCTCCTGCAGCCCTCTACAGTGTGACTGAGAACGCTGCAAGGCTACCGCCTTTTTCCCCAGAGGAGAATGGAGACTGGTGGCTGATAACTGTTTTGTTTTTTCCCCTTCCATTGTCCTCCAGTTTCTTCCTCTCTCACCTCCTTCTGCTGCAGCTTCATTATTTGTCTATCTACCTTCTCACTTTTCAGACACCCTCCTATATCTTGAAACCCCATGCTGATACGCTGCTTCTACAGCATAATTTCTTCTTTATGTACCACAATGGGGGGAGTCAGAAAGTAATGGGAATAACAAGCTAGCTTTAACCAGTTGACCAAGGTTTTTGTTGTTGTTGTTGTTGTTTGTTTGTTTTGTTTGTTTTGTTTTGTTTGAGTTGGAGTCTCACTCTGTCGCCCAGACTGGAGTGCAGTGGCCGCTCCCGGCCACGGCAGCCTCGACCTGCTGGGCTCCAGGGATCCTTCCGCCTCAGCCTTCCAAGTAGCTGGAACTACAGGCACGCGCTACCACGCCCGGCTAATTTTTTGATTTTTTGTAGAGATGAGGTCTTGCCAAGTTGCCCAGGCAGGTCTTGAACCCGTGGGCTCAGGCAATCCACTCACCTCAGCCTCCCAAAGGCGTGGGATTACAGGCTGAGCCACCGATCCCGGCTTGTTGTTGTTGAGTTGGATTCTCACTCACCCAGACTGGAGTGCAGTGGCCGCTCCCGACCACGGCAGCCTCGAACTGCTGGGCTCTGGCGATCCTTCCGCTTCCGTCTTCCAAGTAACTGGAACTACAGGCGTGCACTACCACGCCCGGCTAATTTTTTTGATTTATTGTAGAGACGAAGTCTCACCAAGTTGCCCAGGCGAGTCTCGAGCCTGCGGGCTCAGGCAATTCACTCACCTCGGCCTCCCAAGGCGCGGGATTACAGATTGAGCCACTGAGCCCAGCATTGACCAAGGTTTTATTATAGAAAATTCTACCCTGTTCTTAGTTATCAGGTGAGAGATAAAATGAACATGGATTAACTTTAGGTATATTTCCTGATGACAAAGTTACTGACAACATTCCTGTCTTTAGAATGTGTGGTTTTCATAAATAATAAATGACATATTTTTATGTTAGAGTAATCTCTCAAGATTATAAAGGTTTTAAATAATGTTTCTGTTTACTGTTTACTGTTGGATGTTTTAGCAGGAAATTGAATTTTGTCTTTCAGTTTTTGGTTGCATTTAAAGCACATTTTAGATGTAAGATTTGTTTCTTAGTGCTTATTAACATATATAGTAACGTGTATTACTTGATCAGAAAAAAGTTATGTATATCAAACTTTTAAAAATCAAATGAAATTCCTTAAAAACCTGTATTTAAAGCAGTCTTATGTTGAACCCTTCGCAGTATAAAAAATCATTTGGTAAAGTAAGGGGACATTCCCATCTTACCTGCTTTGTGAAGTCTAGACTATCATATGTCAGATTTACATGAAGTAAAGTATATGTACTTTGGTGCTTTAATGAATGGATAATTTTCATGCATATTTTTCTCTTGAAATTTTCCATCTAATACTTGCTACATTTAGAGCTGGTGAGATTTTTAAAGTGTGAGATGAGATTGAATCGGAACAGCCCTATTCTAAGGATTTTAATTATTCGTTGAACTTCTTTATTAATTCATAAAATGATTGTCACCAGTTATTTTTCCTACTGGATAGGAAATGTAATAATTGGCACAGAGTACATTTTAAAATAAATTATTGCTTTCTTTGCCCTCTTGCCGTAGTGATTCTAGCTGCTGTTTTCTATCAGAAATCTTAACATGGAGACTACTTTAAAGCCAGTACTTAAGCAAAGCATAGAATAAAATTACCCTGAGGTCATTGTCCACTGACCAAATTAGTTTAACTAACCACAGGCATTGTAAGTACTATTCAAGATAGGAGAGTATAGTAATTCTTAGCTGGACTTGAACCTCCTGAAATTTTTTTTTTTTTGAGTTAGGATCTCATTCTGTTGCCCAGGCGGGAGTGCAGTGGCAGGATCCTGGCTCATCACAGCTTAGAACCCCTCGACTCAGGCAATCCTACCACCTCAGCCTCCTGAGTGGCTGGGATTACAGGCATGTACCACCATGCCTGGCTAATTTTTAAAATTTTTTCTGGACATTTTAAATCCTTAACATTGAGAAAAAGTGGTGGGAAAGTATATTCTTTACCTTGTAGTAGAAAGGTGACTGTTAATGTATTGTTAAAGTACATGGAATAAAATTATAATGCCCAAACAAAGATTTCAGCGACTGTCCTAAGATAACTTTTACATAATTATTAAATGATGAAGGCACTCAAAGCTTGTGCAGATTTGATTTTTTCATGTTTAAATTCAGAGAAGCTTTATTTTTGTGAAGCATTTTAAATAGAGTACTAAATAGTTGTAAATTGAAGTTTGATAATAGAATTAACTTTTAACAATAAACAGTCGTAGAAAGACTTCTGATACAGGTCTAAATAACCAAATCAACTCAGAAATTAATATAATTAGGTAAAAGGAGCTGTGGCAAGACTTGTGATATGTAGTTAACGCATTTCTGTATACCTGAGGTCCAAAAGTACTTCAGATAACTAGCCAGTGATAAAAAATCAAGTCTGTCCATCATTTCCTTCATCGTTTTGGTTATGCTTTTTGCCTGAATAAAATTGACGAACATACCATTATTGTTTCCATTGGTTCCACCTTAGAATTTTAAACGTTTTCCTGTTAGTAAATTCTTCCCATGTTTTTCATTCCCCTTAGAACATTTGCTCCAGTATGGGATGTGTTCAAAACATCTACAGAGAAATTAGCAAATTGTCACTTGGATCTTGTTAGAAAACTACAAGAATTAATAAAGGAAGTTCAGAAGTATGGAGAAGAACAAGTAAAATCTCATAAGAAGGTATTAATTTTTTCTTGTTGAAGAATTGATTGGTCAGATATTGAATGCTTTAGAGTTCAGTCATTTTGATGAATCATTTCATACCAGACTAAAGAAGAAGTTGCAGGAACTCTGGAAGCTGTCCAAACCATTCAGAGCATAACTCAGGCTCTCCAGAAATCCAAGGAAAATTACAACGCCAAGTGTGTGGAACAGGAGCGTTTGAAAAAGGAAGGAGCTACACAAAGAGAAATAGAAAAGGTAAGCATAATAAAAAATAACACCTTTGGTTTTAAAGCCATTTGATAGACAAATTGCATTTAATCTTCAGATTACACTAAAAAATACTCTCATTTTAAAGATGAAGACACTGTGTCTTGCATTGTTAGTGATCTACCTAAGTAATAGATTTGTAAAATCTGTTGTCTGTGGTAAATAGGTAAGCAAACACATGAAAACAATGAATTTTTGTGTGTGTCAGTGACATATTTGCAGGATATTTTTATAGTAAGATTATTGGTGAGATAGCTACTTGGTATAAGATTTAACAATGAGATAAACAGATTTTTGAAGCAAGATTTTGCTGTATTTAGAAAGGCATAGACATACTTGAAGATAAGTTTTAAATCTAAGTTGGGTGATTTATTGCTGACTTTGAGCATCATTGTGGTAAACCACAAGCTTTTCTTCCACTTGTTTTAACCGAAGGTAGGTTTTTTCCTCCTTTCAAAACAGTTTTAAACTAACCATTTACCTATTTGATGTGGTGTATCTCATTTAGGAATGAGCCATGGGGATTGATAATTTTGAAAGCTTTGTAAGGTATTTAAATTATTCAGGAAAACCAAGACTGGGCATGGTGGCTCACACCTGTGATTTCTGCACTTCAGGAGGCCAAGGTGAGAGGATTGCCTGAAGCCAGGACTTTGAGACCAGCCTTAGCAACATAGCTAGATCCTGTCTCTACAAAGTAACAAAATAAAACTTAGCTGGGCATCTGTGGCATGTGCCTGTATAGTTCTTGTTACTTGGGAGACTGAGGCAGGAGGATCACTCGAGCCCAGTAGTTTGAGGCTGCAGGAAGCTATGACTGTGTCACTTTACTCCAGCCTGGGTGACAGAGTGAGACCCTGTCTCTTTTCCCTCTCTCTTTCTCTCTCTGGGACTGGAACTACAGGTGCATATTACCATGCCTGGCACATTTTTAATATTTTTTTAGAGATGAGGGTATTGCGATGTTGTACAGACTGGGGTCAAACATTTGACCTTAAGCAATCTTCCCACTTCAGTCTCCTGAATAGAGTTGGAGTCTCACTCCGTCACCCAGACTGGAGGGCAGTGGCACGCTCATGGCCACCCCAGCGTCGACCTGCTGGGCTCTGGTGATCCTTCTACTTCAGCTTTCTTTTTTTTTTTTTTGAGTTGGAGTCTCACTCTGTCACCCAGACTGGAGTGCAGTGGCTGCTCCCCGCCACCACAGCCTCGATCTGCTGGGCTCTGGTGATCCTTCCACCTCAGCCTTCCAAGTAGCTGAAACTACAGGCACACGCTACCACGCCCATCTAATTTTTTTGATTTATTGTGGGGATGAGGTCTCGCCAAGTTGCCCAGACGAGTCTCGAACCCGTGGGCTCAGGCAGTTCAGTCACTTTGGCCTCCCAAAGCCCGGGATTACAGGCTGAGCCACTGAGCCTGGCCCACTCCGGCTTTCTAAGTAGCTGGACTACAGGTGTGCTAATTTTTTATTTTATTGTAGAGATGAAGTCTTGCCAAGTTGGCCCGGACTGTTCTCAAACCTGTGGACTTAGGCAGTCCACTAGCCTTGGACTCCCAAAGTGCTGGGATTACAGGCTGAGCCACCTAGCCTGGCCCTGGCCTAATTTTTTGTGGAGATGAGGTCTTGCCATCTTGCCAAGAAGGGTTTTGAACTCCTGGGTTTATGTGATTCTGTGCCCTTGGCCTTCCAAAGAGCTGGACTTAGGTCTGAGCCACTGCACCCAGCCACATTATAGGTACTTAAACAGAAACATTTCTGGTGGTATATTAGATAAACTTAATGATAATGCTAAGGAAATGAATAAAAGGTAGACTTATTTTATTATTAATAGGTTGTATATTAAAACCAGTCTTATTATCAGAAGAAATATAGCTATTGCTTTTTTTTTTGAGTTGCAGTCTCACTTTGTCGCCTAGGCTGGAATACAGTGGCATGTTCCTGGCCACCCTAATGTCAACCTGCTGGGCTCCAGGGATCCTTCCCCCTTCACCTTCCAAGTAGCCAGGATTGCAGGTGCAAACTACCACCCCCAGCTAATTTTTTTATTTTTTATTGTGGAGACGAGGTCTCACCATGTTGCCCAGGCTGTTCTCGAACCTGTGGGCTCAAGCGGTCCTCTTGCCTCGGCCTCCCAAAGTACTGGGATTACAGGTTTGAGCCACCACGCCTCACCAGCTATTGCTTTTAAAGCACGATTTTCTCTTTAAGAAAAGTGCTCCAACTTCCCTTTTAATAATGACTTCACAAAAACAGCCACTTTTTTTTTTAACTATGAGGACATTTGGTTTTTGTAATTCTATAGTAAGAATTTATAGTATTACTACAACGGAATATTATGTAGCCATAAAAAAGGACACACATGGACTTGGCAACAACTTGGATGGATTTAGAGTCTGTCATACTCAGTGACCTATCACAGAAACAAAGAACAGAGTACCATATGTTCTCACTCATAAGCAGACCAAGAACAATTATCATAATACTATAAGAAAGGGATTGACAGTAGTGGGAAACTGCCATGGGAGGGGAGGGATGATTGGCAGTTGAGGGAAACTGCCAGGGGAGGGAGGGGCACACCTCATCAACAAGAGTACCTGCATAGTGAACATTTGTATACCTAACCCTGGATTTTACCCCACATCTTTAAAATAAAAAATAAATAAAGAACTATAAAAAAAAGTGTATAGTATTACTTACTGTAAGAAAGGGATTGGCAGTAGTGGGAAACTGCCAGGGGAAGGAGGGGCATACCTCATCAACAAGGGTACCTGCAAAATGAACATTTGTATATCTAACCCTGGATTTTACCCCACATATTTAAAATAAAAAATTTTTTAAAAGAATTTGTAGTATTACTAAGTATATGCACTGTTTAGAAAGTTGTTTTGACTTAATAATGTAGTACTTTTGTGTAGCTGTTTCTTATGAGAGAAACAAATATATATATTTCTAATACAGTTACTTTTTTTTTTTTTTTAAGAGACAGGTCTCTCTGTCTAGGGACAGGGAAACACCTCTTATCAACAGGGTGCTTGAATGAAACATAATTGTATACCTAACCCTTAATTGTACCCCACAAAACCATAATAAAAAATATTAAAAAAAAAAAAAGAGACAGGTCTCATTGTCATCCAGGCTGAAGTGCAGTGGCACAATCATATCTCACTGAAGCCTCTAACTCCTAGATTTACACAATCTCCTGCCTAAGTAACTGGGACTATAGGTATACACTACCACACTCTGCTATTTATTATTATCATTATTATTATTATTCTTAATAGAGATGGGATCTTGCTATGTTGCCCAGGCTGATCTCAAGCTCCTGAGCTCAAGTGATTCTCCCACCTTGGCTTCTCAGAGTGTTGGGATTATAGACGTGAGCCACCATGCCCAGCCCTCCCAATACAGCTACATTCTAAAATTGCGTCTATATCCTTTTATATGATACCCTTAGTTTTCTTTAAATTTGTTTTTGTCATTCTTAAAGCACCTTGTAAATCAGCAAGTTTTTAAAAAATTTTAAATTCTTTATTAGTTAGTGCTTTATTTTTTTAGTTAGTGCTTCTTTTGTCATTTTTCCAAGATGCTTCTTAAAGTTGGTATGTAATTTCCGTAAGATTATGACTTTGACATATTGGTTTTACCTTTCTGGAGTGAGAGCTGATATAAAAATTGCAAATTAGAACTTAAAAAGGATATCTTCTCTTTTCCTTTATGCTTCCAAGTAAGAGAAATGAAATTTTATGGTTTCCTGGTATCAGAGGATATACTTCACCAGACTTACCTGTTTACAATTTTGAGTTGGATTCAACTCTTTTTATTTGTTTGTTTTTTTGAGTCAGAATTTCCCTCCATTGCCCAGGCTGGATTGCAGTGGCACACTCATGGCCATCGCAGCCTCAACCTGCTGGACTCAGGTGATCCTTCCACCTCAGCCTTCCAAGTAGCTGGAACCACAGCCACCTTGCCCGGCAAACTTTTTGATTTATTGTAGAGATGAGGTCTCCCCAAGTTGCTCAGGCTGGTCTCGAACTTGTGAGCTCAGGCAATCCTCTCACCTCCGCCTTCCAATGTTCTGGGATTACAGGCATGCGCCACCGCACCTGACTGGATCTAGCTCTTAACCTTCGAGATAATGATATTAATTTTATAATCTGAAGTAGTGAACAAATAAGTTTGTATGCTGAGTTGAATGACGATATCGAGATTTAAGGTGAGACTAACATGGGAAGAGAAAAAGTTGTGGAAATATGCTGGCATAATAATTTTAAATTAATATTTTTACCCCCTTTTGAATCAGTCAAGATTTGAGTAGCAAAACTAGTTGGAATTCTAGTAAAACTAGTTGAATGTAGTAAGAATAACTGATACTTCCTTCCATGTCTTAAAGGCCTGTAATGCATGATGAATCATGTTATGAAACAATTACTTTCTGTATATATTCTAAAAATACAAGTCTTTTGTAGGAAGTAATGCTCCTCTGGATAGCCATTTTTTATTTCTATTAGATTATAAATTTCATGTGAGTGCGAAACCATCATTGTATCGTCAGTAACACAACATATATGTTTACTTTTCCAAACATATATGCTGTGTTATTGACGATACAATGATGGTTTCTCACTCACATGAAATTTATAGCATGATTATTATAGCAAAATACTATTTTAATTTTTCCAGTTCATTAATATGATAAAAATTAGTTTGAGTTTATTTTAACTAAATGCTTTAGAATAGATTCTTACCTTCTTAGATAGATTTATTCAAATATTTTTCTGATTTACTCTTATATTATGAAGTGATAATCTACATGTAGTAGTAAATAAATGTTTTAATTCCTAGCCTATCACAAATGGTGTTCCTTGTTAGAAATCATAATGGGCTGGGCTTGGTGGCTCAGCCTGTAATCCCAGCACTTTGGGAGGCCAAGGTGAGTGGATTGCCTGAGCCCGGGATTCGAGACCCGCCTGGGCTCGAACCTCATCTCTACAATAAATCAAAAATTAGCCGGGTATGGTAGCACACGCCTGTAGTTCCAGCTCCTTGGAAGGCTGAGGCGGAAGGATCGCTGGAGCCCCGCAGATCGAGACTGCAGTCGCTGGGAGCGACCACTGCACTTCAGTCTGGGTGACAGAGTGAGACTCCAACTCAAAAAAAAAAAAAAAAAAAGAAATCATAATAAAGCAGGTACTATTTATTTTGTAAATTTAACTGTATGTCAGATCCTGTGCCAAGCAAGCATTTTGTATAATTACATTTGATCACCATCACAGCTTTAAAAAAATAGGTGATACCGTTCCCATTGTAGGAATGAGAGAACTATATAAAGTTTAGAGATTCAAATGGGTACTACAGTAGTCCCCCTGTATTTGTGATTTCACTTTCCTTGGTTCCAGTTACCTGCTACTGTACAGTATAGTAAGTATTCTGAGAGAAAGAGACCACATTCCCATAATTTTTGTTATAGAATATTATTATAATTATTCTGTTTTATTATCACTTGTTGTTTAGTCTCTTACTTTGCCTAATATATAAATTAAACTTAGGTATGTATGTGTAGGAAAAAACCTAGTATATTGCCTGGCGCTTGGTGCCATCTGGATCTTGGAATGTATCCCCTGCAGATAAGGGGGGCTACTGTAAATGGGGAAGCCAGGATTTGAATATAGTTTCTTCTGACTCCGAAATCAGTTTTGTTTACACTACCTGGTAAAATGGCATCCTATGTTATTTAAGAAGAAGGCAGGACAGCACATAACATTTATTCTTAATATAATGTATACTGCTATATTTTAGAGAGAGTACCAAGTTGCTTATTTAGAGAGTGGGTCTGTATGTTCCTCTTACCAATCTCAAGCCTCAGGGCAAACCCAATGTTCTGTTTCCAGTTTTCTCGTATTCCTGTCACAGCCAGTGACAAGCACGTGCTGGCACTGATGGGCTCTACACAAGTTCCCTCTTTTACAGCTTTACTTGGCCCCCAGTGGCTCTTAGCAGCACTTTTGTTCTTCTAGTCAGGACCTGTTCACCCTCCACAACTATGGCTTAAAGTGTTTTTCATTCATTCTTAAGCTCCCAGCCTTACGCTGCTGTTGCTTACTCATACTACATCATCTGTTACCATATCTAGAAAATGGAGAGCTTTCTATCTAGAAATCCTAGGACTTGTCTTTCTTTGATCTCCTTTAAACTCTTATTTCCTCCAGCCTCATCATCCCATCTTCTTATGTTCAGATTCATCCATCCTTTGAGAATAGGCCAGTTTCTTGATAGCCATGTGTTTTCCCCAACCTACAAGCTACACATAATCTTTTCCTTCCCTGAATTTCTATCTTCCCAAGAATTTATCTTGACTTCTGTGACTTTGTTACTTTCTGTTAATTTCTAACTGTTTATGTATAGGTTGTCCAGTAATTCTTGATATGTTATTGTTAATTTTTTATTGAATAAGTAACTTTTATAAAACTAGAATTGTAATACAATAACTTTTTTGAAGTCTTGAAAAAATAGGCAAAGATTAAAACCAAATTTCTGTATTTGTTTGAGTATCATGGAAACTGAGAAACACCAAGAAAAACCAGTCTTCTCAACTTCTGAACTAGGTTTATAGTCTTTAATCAGACATTACATGAAATATGTGTATGCTGTGTCGGAAAAAGACTTACAGGTGTGAAAAGGAGTGTCAAGTACGTTCTGATGGTTGTTGTGATATTTTTGTGCATTATCAGGAAATTTCTCACAGTATGTTAATGTATTCTTAGTGGCACTGTACCATTATGAGGTAGTTACGCAGTCTTACTCTGGGATATAGATGAGAGTATTATAACTTTTCAAAGATAGAAAGGAGATTTAGTGTTTAATTCCTGAGTTGTTATCTGATTGTAACTAAAAGAATGACTAAGGAGGGCTTCACAACAGGTATTAAACTTAGTTATGTCATATTGCACTCTTAAATAAATGTATTTTAATTTGTTATCCATATTAACTTATTTTAGGAAAGTAAGTCAATTCACAGTTAAAAATGTTTTTGTTTTATTACAGGCAGCTGTTAAATCTAAGAAAGCAACAGATACCTATAAACTCTATGTGGAAAAATATGCATTAGCAAAAGCTGATTTTGAACAGAAAATGACAGAAACAACTCAGGTTGGTAATTTAAATTGAAACTGGATGTTTGTATTTATGTAAATTGATTAAATAATACAATTTTCTGTCATACAATTTAGTGTTGGAAATTTTAAAATGCACAGTCTCAGTGTTTTAATGATGGTATTTAAAACATACACCTCTTGTTTTGGAGATTGAGGACCAAGATGCAATAATTATAATGTCATAGGAAATTACTCTGATAGCTTAGAAGAGGCTGTTTAAAGATAATTGGAGAAAATGAGGGCATCGGTAGATAATGAAGACAGTGCTAATTGTTTGCCTCGTGGATCTTAAAATTTACTTTTGATTAAAAAGAAAACTGGAAGTGGCTCAGTGCTGACACTACAGCAGTAAACAAAATAACCATAAAAACCCTGTTCTCATAGAACTTATAAATGAGGGAAGACAAAATGACAAAACAAATGACAAAGACAAAAATGTCTGCCCTCCATTAACTTGGGATAAATTACTTTTGATGTGGTGTTCTCAGAGCTTTAATTCAAGGCCTAGTTTAAAGTGGGTTCCTTTTATGAATCATACCTACTATTTCCACTCCTCCCCTTCTTGTCCTCTTTCTTGTTGTATATTCCTATTTAGCACCTGTCATCATCTCACATACCAGGAATCTCATTTCCTGTATCAGTCATATCACATTAGGTACGCTGAGGTGACCGAGGGCTCAGTGGCTTACAGTATCAACAGTTTATTTCTTTCTCATGGTCCATGTTTGTTGTGGGCTGGCTGCAGTGCTGATCTACATCGCCTTCACTGTGACACTGAGGTTGGTGGATGAACCTGTTTTCGGAACATCTTAGTCATCATGTGTGAGGGGCCAGAAACATAGTGAAGCACTTGGCTCTTCTACCTACATTTTTTATTGTCTGTCTTCTCCCACTAAAATGTAAGTTCTAGGAAAACAAGGATTGGTTTGCTTTGTTTATTGCTGTATGCTTCGCATTTAAGATAGTTCCCAGCTGATGGTAGGCACTCAGTTGATATGAATGAGGGACTTGTGAATCTGATTTTTTAGACTCTAGATCTTGAAGTGGTGAACAACTCATATCTTAGAAACCGGAGCCCAGGAGGTCAAAGCTGAGGTGGTCGGGAGTGACCACTGCGCTCCAGTCTGGGCAACAGAGTGAGACTCCAACTCAAAAAAAAAAAACATGTAGGCACGCATCCATCTTTATATACTTTAGGCTCTATGCTAGATACTGGGTGTACACAGTGTATATGCAAATAAGACAAATATCACCTTGCTCTAGGTGGAATTTACAGTATAGAGGAGGGAGGCAGACATTAAATACATGCTTAAATATAAAGTTATAAATTATTATACACGTTACAAAGGAAAAGAATAGGTTTCCATAATATAAAATAATAGAAGTGACCTCATTTGGATTAGGGAGTCAGAAAAGGCCTTTTTAAAGAAGTGACATTTAAAACTGGGACTTGGCCAGGTGATGGTTCACACCTGTAATCCCAGCATTTTGGGAGACTAAGGCAGGAGGATTGCTTGAGCCCAGGAGTTCAAGACCAACCTGGGCAACAAAGCAAGACGACAACGCTACACAAAAAAAAAAAAAATTTTTTTTAATTTTTAAAAAAGCAAAGCTCCGTGCCTTCCCCATAAACAAACAAACAAGCAAATAAAGTAAAACTAAGACTTGAAGAATGAATTAGAGATTAATAGGATAAGAGTATTCCAGGCTTTGGGGAATCACCTTTGAAGGCTCAGAGGTATAAAAGTTCTTATATTCTGGAAAGTTAAAAGTGCTTAACTGAATGCTTACTAAACCTGAGCGACAGAAAGTGGTGCTGAGAACTGAGGTTAAAGAGATAGGCAAGGACCAGGTTTTAGTAAGAATTTAGTTTTTTTCTGAGAGCATCTGGAAGCCACCTAAAGATTTTAGGCAAGAATGTGACATGATCTGATCTGCATATTAAAAGATAATTCTGGCAGTTTTGTGAAGAATTGATTATAGTACAGCAAAGAGAATCACGAGTCCAGTTTGGAAGGCAGAATGGTAGTCAGGTAAGATGAATGGGGCCATTGTGGTGGTATTGGAGAAGGAGAGAAAAGAATGCAACGGAGCTGACAGGGGTGGGTGGGGTGGGTTGAGGAATTCTGTGGGAGACCAAGATCACTTTCAGGTTTTAGCTTCAGTCTGTGTGGATAGAGACAAATGGGAAAGACTAGGAGAAGAACTGTTAGTTTGATGAGAAAGGAAGGAATCAGATGTTTAATTTTGAGCATGTTAATTTGGAGATACACCTATGAGATACCTAGGTGGAGACATCAGGTGGGCAGTTTTGGAAGAGTCAGGTCATCTGGGCTGGGCATAATGGCCAACAGTCCCTTATCCACAATTTTGAATCCCAACATCTCTGAAAACCGAAAGTTTTTTTTTTTTTCTGTGATTCATTTGGCAGCAAAACTTGACCTGAACTGATGTGAAGCTTTTTATAGTCTTTATTTATTCAACATGTTTTCCTTTAGAAACATTCATGTGTTTGATAAACAGATGCCACTGCAGATTCTGCTGGTTGTATTATGAAATCTATTGCATTTTTATAATACCATATATTTTTATTTTGAAAAAATTTGGAGTTCCAAAGCACAAATGGTCTGAAAGTTTTTGAATAAAGGATTATAAGCCTATGTAAAATAAATTTGTTGCCAGTACACAAAGCCATGCTGACTTTACTTCTGGTTAGAGTGTGGGGAAGGAAGGCTCGCAGGACTGAGCTCTGAAGACTCATTATTGAGATTTTGATAGAGGAAGAGATGCTGAGACCCAAGTAGAAGCCAAAGAAGGAAGAAAATTGGAAGTGTGAAGTCATGGCAGCTGTGAAAAGAAGATTCAAGAAGAAGGAAGGGTTTAGTTTTGTGAAATGTCCAGTGAGATAAAAGTTTCAATTTTTATGGCAACTGAACTCATTGTAGACTTCAGCAAGTGCTGTTTTGTCTTTGAAATCACTAGGAACACTCATTTAGAAGGCAATTATTGTTGAGTTGTTATTTTCACATTAAAATGATTAGTTTTGGTCAGTGAAATGTTTGCCTTTTAATTATTAAAATTGGAAAAAATAAAGATCAGAATTTGCTAGAATTAGGGCCTTTAGTTTTTGTTGATGTTACTTTATAAAAATGGATGTTCAGCACTTTTCTTTCCATCTCCTTATCTCTTTGCTTCCTCATTATGTTTTTTTTCAAAATGGCATTTTATTTTATTTTTTTTGAATCGAAGTTTCACTCTGTTGCCTAGACTGGAGGACATTGGCATACTCATGGCCACCACAACTTCTACCTCCTGGGTTCAGGTGATCCTTCTGCCTCAGCCTTCCAAGCAGCTGGAACCACAGGTGTGCGACACCTCGCCCTGCTACTTTTTAAATTTATTGTAGAAATAAGGTCTTACCAAGTTGCCCAGGCTGGTCTCGAACTCCTGGGTTCAGGAAATCCTCTCGCCTCCACCTCCCAAAGTGCTGGAATTACAGGCATGAGCCACCATGCCCAGCCCAAAATGACATTTTAAATTGTTTATCTTAGCATTTTCAAGATGGGAACATTCATTTATTTGAGCAGATATGTGACCATGCTGCTTTTAAATAAAGATGATAGCATACCTTACTAATGTGTGTGTATGTTATTTCTTAGGCTTTCTCTTTGTCTCTGTCATACACACACAACTGCAGAACAAATTAACTGTTGTTTCTTAATAGAGAGTAGACTTCACTTTGGGTTATTTAGAGCTCAAAAGAATCCTTTTATTTTTTTACTTTCCTTTTGTTCCAGACCAGCTAGGCTGATGTAATCACAGTGTGGAAGAACTTGACAGTATAGTGAGAGTCAAATTTGGGTGACAGGACCTGTATTTATTTATTGAGTCCCTATAGTGAAAGAGATAATAATTGATTTAGAGTATTTGTCATTTAAGTTTTTTCATTTGGGTTGAGAATAAGAATGATTGAGATTGACTTCTCTTTATGCTCATGCTTTTACTGTTATTATTTAAGGGGACCCCTGAAACAGAACATGGAGATTTTGTTTACAGCAGTGTGATGGTTAGTTTATGGAAATTTGGAGATTTACTAGACAACACTCTTAGATGAAGGATTTGTTAGACTACTTCTGTATACCTTTAGTGGCTAACTACACTGTATAATCACGTTTCACTTAATGATAAACTTTGAGAAGTGTGTCTTGAGGTGATTTTGTCAAGGTGTGAACATCATAAGAGTGTACTGACAAACCTAGATGGTGTGGCCTGCTATTGTTCCTGGGCTGCAGCCTGTGCAGCATGTTGCTGTACTCGGTACGGTAGGCATTTGTCACACAATGGTAAATGGCTGTGTATCTAAACATAGGAAAGATTCAGGAAAAACACGGCATGAAAGATGAAAAATGGCACACCTGAATGGAGCTTGTAAGGCTGAAAGTTGCTGTGGGTGAGTCGGTGAATGAGTGGCGAGTGACGTGAAGCCCTAGAGCACTGCTGTGTACGACTGTCGGCTTCATGAATACTGTGTACATGGACCACACTAAATTATTAAAAACTTCTTTCTTCAGCAATAAATTAACCTTAGTTTCCTGTAATTTTTTCGCTTTATAAATTGAAAATTTTTTAACTTTTTGACTCGTGTGCTGATTCTCTCCTTAAATGCAGACACATTGTATGACTGTACAAAAATATTTTCTTTCTTATAAGTTTTTATTCTAAAAAGCTTTTTTCTATTCTTAAATTTTTAAATTAAAAAAAAATTTTAAGCCTTTTTGATAAAAACAAGGGCACAAGCATACATTAGCCCAGGCCTACACAGGGTTAGTGCCATTGATGTAACTGTCTACTACTTCACATCTTGTCCCACTGGAAGGTCTTCAGGGACAAACATACAAGGAACTGCCATCTCCTGTGATAACAAGAATTAGTCCTATTTCTTTTGGGATAACTCCTGAAGGGCCTCCCTGAGACTGTTTTACAGTTCACTTAAAAAAAAATAAGTAGAAGGAATACACTCTAAAATAACAATTAAAAATACAGTAAATACATAAACCAGTAATGTAGACACATTATCATTATCAAGTGTTATGTGCTATACACAATTTTATGTGCTGTTTTATAGAACTGGCATTACAATTGGTTTGTTTACACTAGAATCCACACAAACGTCAGTTTCATTTGTGTTGATAATGTTATGGTGGCTATGATGTCACTAAACAATAGGACTTTTCAACTTCTTCATTATAGTCTTATGGGACCGCTGTTATATATGGGATCACTCCTTGACCAAATTGTCATTATGTGGCATGTTACTGTACTTTAAAAAATTAATGTAACAATACAGATGAACACAGTGAATTTGAAATGCAAGGAGGAAAAAGCCTGTCTAATATGTAAGAAAGTTTATTTATTTATACTCAAAGACTTGAGACTATACTCATTTCCCATTGCTGAATTATTGAGTTTAGTAGTCACTAATTTTGAGGAACTGTGAGAGCAGCAGTGTGCCCTCCCCCCACCAAGAAAAAAACCCACAATTTCAAAATTGCATCTGAATCTTGCTTTGAGTTTCTGTGTAGATTCATGTTTTAAGATATTTCTAATAATTAAAGGTCTGCCTTATTCAGTGTAGCTGATTCAAAAGGGAATGAAGATTTAAGTTTCCTTGGAGTTAGGGATCATCCATATGAAATTAATGGCTACCTGTCTTTGATAAAAATATCTTATTCACTAAAATGCTGAAATTTAAGCTGAGAACCATTTGTTATGATATGAATTTAGGATAGAATCGTCCTCCTATTTCTCAGTTCATCAGAGTATTTTAGGATCTTGCAGTATTGGTACTGTATTTTCAATGACTTGATCAAAATTAATTAATGACAAGCATTCTGTTTTAACTATTCCTTATTAATAAAATTGATTTAAGTTATTGGACTGCTATTGAATTATTGCCAGAACTTTTATTTCACCATTATGGATTTTTTTTTAGAAGTTCATACCACTTACACAAATGTAGATACCATTTGGTTTAGTAATTTCTGGTCACATGGCTTAGTGCTGAATAAACTTGGACATTAAATATGGAAAGGGAATTTAATTTGATTAACTATATGAAAACAAAGGATTTATGTTTATTCATTAGAACTGATTTAATTTGGCAAAAAATAGGTAATTAGGTTTATGTAGTAGAAAATGACAAATGTGTTTTCTTTGAAAATGGATAGCACAGCATTTCCAAAACCTGTTTTGAGGAATATTATTGTTCTGTGAGATATTAATAGATGTTCAGGGAAGAAGAAAAACAAAAGGGGTGTAAGGTCAAAGAAATTTAGAAAATGCTAGGTTAAGCAAAGTGAGGCAAGTGTCATTGTTTAAGTATTTCTTAGAACTTTCGATGTATTTGTTGTGAAGCCAAAGCTAGCAGGGGTTTTCTCTCTGAGGAATAAATACTAGAGTAACCTGGAATTTTTTTCCAAATAACAGTCTCACCTCTTTTCACCCACTTCCCCCAGGCAGTCCTGAAGGATCTGTGTGTTTTGCAGTTTGAACACGTTCCCCAGCTGACCATCCCCATCTTTGGTTGAGAACTGCTGAGACAGAGTATATAGTCTTTCCCAGATTTCTTTGATCATAGACTATCTCTTTAGGAAATTGTATTTTCATATTTGAAGGATTAGAAGAATATTTTGAAAATCTGTGGGCTAGAGTATAAAGTCCTCAGAAATAAACTGTAGTTTTTTGCTTTGCTAATGAATTGTTTTTCAGTTGTTGTTTTTTTTTGTAGTATAGATACAAACGACTTTTTAAAACATTTTATTTCAGTAGCTTTGGATGGTACAAATAGTGTCTTTCAGTTTTTGAAATCCTTCTCCCTTGGCTTTTGTAACACTGTTCCCTTCTGGGTCTCTCTAATTTTCTGATCATGCTTATATATTTTAATGTGTAGTATCTTCAAACTCTGAAAAAGTTTGCATTTGCCTAAGAATTAGAATAACAAAAAGTTAATTATTCTCATTCCTGTATTTCAGTTTATTAGACTCATTTGTCTAGAAGCATTGTTAAATATGTGACATTGATAACTTGCTAAATTTGATGATCTACACTGAGATTATTTCTAAAAGCTTTTTTGATTCCAGAATGTATGTACCTATGTGTATTATAAATATGTACCTTTTTATATTTGCTATTCAGAAATTCCAGGATATTGAAGAAACTCACCTCATTCACATAAAGGAAATTATAGGATCCTTGTCAAATGCTATAAAGGAAATTCATTTGCAGATAGGTCAGGTAAGTTTTTTTATTTTATGCTGAACTGATTTATGAACATTTTATGTTTATGACTATTTAAAAATTTTTTTTTACTATCTAAAACTTATAAGTATAATACTGAATTATTCTAGATAAAGAGTATGTATTTATATGTATTAGCTATAAAATAAACTGGATATTTAATTGCTTGGCCATCAAGGATGATAATTCAGTTAATTAAAAAAATTAACTATTACTAAGTCTTCTTTATAATTCTGAAGTTACCAATTTTTGAATTTTTTTCAAGTTTTACTATTTTTAGATTTAGAGCAGCAGCTTCAGTAAGTTATAGAACTTTTACTTAGAAATACTCCAAAAATATAAGAGGTTGAAGAATGACAATTTGGGTGCAGTAAAATATAGAGAAAGATGAAATCTGTTATACTTTATTATTAAAAATCCCAAACTATTTTTGTTGTCCTTATAAATTTTTTTCTTTTTGTAAGAATTTTGTCTCTGAAATATTCAGAGATAGGAACAGAAAACTGCTTTGCCTTTTTTTTTTTTTTTTTTGAGTTGGAGTCCATCACCCAGGCTGGAGTGCAGTAGCACACTCATGGCCACCGCAGCCTTGACCTGCTGGGTTCAGGCAATCTTTCCGCCTCACCCCTTCAAGTAGCTGGAACTATAGGTGCATGCTACCACACTCCGCTAATTTTTTTGATTTATTGTAGAGATGAGATTTCGCCAAACCCTCAGGCTCAGGCAATCCTCCCACCCAGCCTCCCAGAGTACTGGGATTACAGGCTTGAGCCACTGCACCCGGCCTGTTTTGACTTCTAAGGCCATGAGACCATACATTAAGGAGTTGTTGTAAGTAGTGGTTGGGCCCCACAGGTCTAGTTACATTGTCACTTAGGTAATGGAAGTTCTCAGAGGCCCTTCAGTTAAAATACTTACTTTGATGTAATGAATTTTAATTGCCTTGTAGAAGTTTTATCTGAAATGCAGTAAGTATATTTGTGGAAAAGAAATAATTATCTCTGTTCCATTTTAATAGGTCCATGAAGAATTTATAAATAATATGACTAACACTACAGTTCAAAGTTTGATACAAAAATTTGCCGAGTCAAAAGGCACTGGGAAGGAAAGACCTGGTAAGATGACATATTCTGCAAGGAAGCACTTTCAGATTTCTGGTCTAGTAACAGATATGTTTGCCTTTAAATTCATGTGTATAGGAGACAATTTTAACTTTATATCACATGTCTGAACTAAGTAATATTTCCAGACTGTAAAATGGTGCAAATCTAAAAATGGGGCCTGTCTAAGAATCTGTGTAAAATCTCAGATATTGTTTTCTTTGTGTCTGATGATATGTTTAATTAAGACTTTTGTTTTGGCATTTAGTGGTTACCACAGTAATTTAGTATTACTTAAAATGGTTATTATTAACATTTACTAGGTTAATCCATTACAGTTTGTTTAGATTTTTCAAAGTAGTTACCTCTAGAAGGCCATTTTAATAAAAGAAAGATTGAGAGAAAATATTGAACTCTCAGAGCCTTGAGACCAACATAGAACCTTCCTTAACATTTAATAACTTCCTTCTTTTCCCATTCACATATACATTCATCAAATATATATTGACTATATATATTTAATTGAGTGCTAACAATATACCCAGACACAGTTCTAACATTTGGGGATACACCAATGAACAAATAGATATAGGCATCCTAATTAGTATTTTTATGAAAAAAAAATGATTGCAGGAGTCTTTTTTTTTTTTTTTTTTTTTTGAGTTGGAATCTCACTCTGTTGCCTAGACTGGAGTACAGTGGCACAGTCACGGCTACTGCTGCCTCGACCTTAGGTTTGGCAATCCTTCTCCCTCTGCCTTCTAAGTAGCTGGAACTACAGGCACACGCCCCACCACGCCTGGCTAATTTTCTGATTTATTGTAGAGATGAGTTCTCATCAAGTTGCCCAGGCTGGTCTCAAACCCTGGGCCCAGGCAATCCTCTTGTCAGCCTCCCAAAGTGCTGGGATTGCAGGTGTAAGCGATTATGCCTGGCACAATTCTACTTTTAATAGGGATGTTATGATGCATTGAATGTGATAAGTAGCCCATTCCCTTCCTCTGCAGCCTGCTTACAGTCTTCCAGATTTCTTGAATCTATTTATCAGTCACTATACTATGTTCTTCCAAGATATTTGTTTCACTCCACAAGTAAAAATAATTCAGTCCAGTAAAGAAGTTAAAATATGGTATGGAATTCAGGAAAATGGATAAATGACTTATGGAGAAGTCTAGAAGCCATTTTTTCTTCAGTGCAATTCACAGAACTAAGGCTTGCAACCTGCCTCATCTTTCGTTTCTTCTTTGTCTTCCCAAATTTCATTAATTTTTAGATCTTGTTGATTCAGTTCTGTTCACATTTTTCCCTCAGACCTTCTCATGATTCCTCTATCTGCTTGAAGCTTTCTCATACTGGCATAGTAGAGATTTCTTTTTCAATCCATTTTACGTGTTATATCACAAACATCTTTGACTGAATAGGAATTTATATTTGCGCTACTCATAAATCTTTGAATTTTCATTGTAGACGGAATGGAAGTTAGACTCTACTCTTGGATTCAAAGCCTAATTTAAGGATCTGGTGCTGACCAGCCTTTCGTCGTAACCTCTTTTACTTTTATTCCAGTACCGTCACTGTGGCCATCCTGAACTGCTTACCATTTCCCATACATGCCCCTTTTTTTCTTAGTTGTCCTCATGTTGTTACTCTGAAAATGTTGTATTCCACTCTTTTTCTGGCTCGCATTTTCCTATTTATATGTTGATTGAATGTATTACTTTCTCCATCGAAAGTGCTAGAGAACTTTATATGTATTTGTTTTGTGCATTGTTGCTATCTATCTTTACAGTTTAATAGTTTTGCACTTCCATTTGATTCATGTTTATTTTTTCTATTTGTAAACATTATTATTATTTATTGTTTTCTATTTGTAAACATATTTTTTTCTATTTGTCAACATTTTTGTTGAATGATTGAACAAGTGGGCATATAATGGTGGGATTAGGTTGTTAAGAAGGTTGGAATGGATGGATTTGCAGCTAGAAAATTTAAGTGAATACTAAGTAATTACAGGTAATGTTTAGTGAGCACGTGCTGTGTGCCATATACTTTGCCAGCCACTTTACAGGCACACTTTGGTCTTCTGCAACTGTTACTCCCATTGTGCAGATGAGGAAAATGTTGATACGTTAAGTGATCTGACTAAGCTAGTACCTGGAAGAGCTGTGATTTATTGCCAGGATTCTTTTATTGCAAGGTCCATGCTTTGAAAAAAATTAGAACAGAACTAAGTATAGGAATGTAAAGAGAATGAGGATGTTGAGATAAATACATACAGACTAGCATGAACCCCTAAACTCCTTACAAATTATAATTCAATTATAAATAAAGACCAGTTGAGAGGGTAAAAAAAATACTTGAGGAGCTAATAGAATTTTTATACAGACTATTTAGAAGAGCTGATAGAACAAAAGCAAAAACCAATTGGCTGGTTAAAACAGAAGTATGAGTAAGATTTGTGGGTCGTATCAGTGTTTGTAATCTACTTGTGACATTGTTCTGTAGTTGTACAAAATGTTCTCATCGTGGGAAACCAGGCAAGAGCACATAAGGGATCTCCCTGTATTATTATTTTTTAACAACTGTCTATGAATCTACAATTAACTCAGTTAAAACTTCAATTAGAAAAATCACTTTGAAACTAGGAGACTTGAGCTGAAATGTGAACTAAACTGATGAAGTATACCTCTTTTCCCTTAGTAACAAATGATCCAGAGTATATTTAAGCAAAAAGAAAGAATACAGCAAATCTGCTTGAAGTAGTTCAGGATTTTTCTTAAAGTTTTAAGCCAGAGAATAATTGGAACATTAAAATATGTTTTGATGGATCCAATTTTTATTATTTATTTATTTTTGAGTTGGGGTCTCACTCTGTCACCCAGGCTAGAGTGTGCTGGCACAATCATGGCTCTCCGCAACCATAACTTCCTGGGCTCAGGAGATCCTTTCACCTCTGCCTCCTGTTTAACTGAGACTACAGGTACATGCCGCTACGCCTGGCTAATTTATTTCATTTTATTTATTTTTTAGAGACGAGGTCTCCCTATGCCACCTAGATTAGTCTTGAACTCCTGGTCTCAAGCAGCCCTCCAGCCTTGGCCTCCTAAAAGTGACGAGATCACAGGCATGACCCATTGTGTCCAGCCACCAATTTTTATTTATGTTATTTATTACTATTTTTTAGTCGGGGTCTCACTCTGTCGCCCAGGCTGGAATACGTGGTATGACTATGGCTTACAGCAGTCTGGACCTCCTGGGCTCAGGAGATCCTTCTGCCTCAGCCTCTCAAGCATGCTATCACACCTGGTTAACTTTTTGATTTATTGTAGAGAATGGAGTCTTGCTGTGTTGTCTAGGCTGGTCTCAAACTCCTGGACTCAAGCAGTTCTCCCACGTCGGCCTCCCAAAGTGGTGGGGTTACAGGCATGAGTTACCACGCCCGACCCAATTTTTATTTTGATTGGTATATTTTAGTGATTTTAGTGGCATTTTATCTGTTCTCTGATGCACCTTTTCCCGTTCTACTTTGACCTCCTGGGCTCTTTTATTGCTTCTTTGCTTATATACCAGTGTCGTTTCCTAAGACACTGATCAGCCAAGGGCCGACAAGTATGTGCCATGTATGTTGCCTTATTCATGGCAGATATCATTACTAGATCATTGCATTTTTTTCCCCGGAGGAGACCTCAGAATCTCTCTCATCTCGGTACTGCAAGCAGCCACTACCAAGATTGAGCATCGGCACTCATATTGAAACCTGTCATCTCTAGCTTAATTCAGTAGGGATTTTTTGTTTGCAAACACCAGAAAGCCAGTAAAAATAAAGTGAAAGCAAAATTCCATGGATTGCCTTTTCTTTTTTAACCTGGAAAGTTAGAATGGATTCAAGGACCAAATGCATGTCATCAGGAGTCTGTTTCATTTTTTTCTCTTATTTTTGCTCCCCTCCGCTTGGCTTCCGTTTCTGAAGTTCCTACTGTAGACTTCCTCCCCGTTGCTGGGAAGGAAGGCATCAACAGTCCCAAGCTTGTATCAGTTCAGTTTGAGACCCTAGTCCAAAAGCTTCCTTTTTCATAGTGTCAGCATATTAATCTCTTTTAGGTTCTGCTTTTGTCACGTGCTTGTCTTTGAATAAATCCGTTTGTTCAGGGTAGTGATATTATAATTGGTCAACATAGATCACATCCCCAGTTCATGGGGGAGCAGGATTTGTATCCTGAAAGGGATTTGGAAATATCTTTCAAACAGAAAAAAATTACTGCGCTAGTACATTGTAGAATCAGTGTACAAAGTACAAAGATACCAATCCCAGAAATACAAATTTTTAGAACTGGGGTAGTATGTATATGTTTTTTGTATATGTACTTCAGGTGTAAAACTTAATGCTGTTATTAATATTTCAATAATCAGGAACATCAGTTTAGGAGGTAAGGATTTACTTTATAATTAGAAAAAACTAGAGCGGAAAAGTTACGTAATTCAGTTTGTCTTATAGTCATGGAATTTATTGCTCAAGGAGACTTTAAAAATAATCTAGCCCAACCCCATTTATTTAATATACAGAAATTTGTTGGTACTTATCAGTTAAATGCCACTGATTTTCTTTAACATAGACTTGCGAGTCAATTAAAGTTTTGTCAGTTCTCAGGAATTTTGCTGATTCAATATAAGGGGAGTGCGGAATCCTTGTTCCTTATGACGTCCTGCCTGCCTCCTCACTCATTCTCTGAAAAACTCAACAAATATTCACAGTTATTTTATAAATTCCCTCCTGGTGATTAGATATTTAAAATAACTCTATATCGGAAATTCCATTTAGGCTCACTACCTGATTCCTTTTAAATTCTGGAACTTTAGATCATGTTTATTTTCTTGTCTGTGGTACAGTGTAGTAGTTTGTGGTCTGTTCTTTCCTGGCAGTGAGCCCTTTAAGCCTCATTGACTTTATCTATGGAGTGGGGATAATAATAGTACCTGCCTCATGGGGGCTGTTGAGGTTTACATGAGATAGTGTA